AGTTTCAGAGAAAATATATACACGCAAGAGTACTATTCGTCTTCTAATTGCAAGTCAAAGTATTGGAGAATGTGGTATATAGACAGAAAGCCCGCAATACTTATCAGGCTTTCCCATGGTATATAAAACTACCGTTGGATTAAGTGTGCCATGCGTGAATCATCTTGCACTACAATGCACAATATCAAGATGGAATGCGTTGCACTTGAATCGGTCAGATAACACTATTTTACATTTAGCTTTCAATCAGACTAAATGGGATTGTGTATTGACATAATGAATAATGAATGGTTGCTTTATAATAGAATGTGTGCGGATGTTTAGCTCGTAAAATTTCGTAGCCTAAGTACTATAAAATTGTTTTTAAATATTAAAGATGTTGTTAATGAAAACCAACAGCAAGGACATCACGTGACAACCTTTGGAAGCAAAAATTATTCATTCTCGATAGGCAAAAAGACCGCAAATAGCAAAATAATGAAAAACAATGGAGGTAACGACAATGACGATAACAACAATAAAAAAATAATCAATGCGGCATTTTCCAGGGGCGAGGCCACCATTAAAAGAATTTCGTTTTTTTATTTCCTCTTCTCCTCAATTGTTTAAACAACATTTTCTTCCACATGCATAATAGATTTCTTTGCATATTTTTGTTTTTGCTTTTTTTGCTATTTTGTGTTTTTGTGTTCAATGCTAGCGGCGGTTAGCTTCTGCTAGACGTATCCATGCTGTTATTGTATTGCAGAATTCTTTTGTAACCGTTCTTCCTGCGCTTTTGTTGCTCCCACAACAGGCGGCCAGCGCTGTTAGAGCAGCCCATAGCAAAAAGCCTTCAAAGCATGTTACGTTTCTGTTTTTTCGTTTTTGTTTTTCATTTGCGCTGAATTGTTTTTTTGCTTTATTCTTTCTTTCAATTTTATTTTACTAGAGAGAAAGTATTATGTTGTTAAGGGTGTGCACTTGTACTGTCTGTACCAAAGCCAACAGGGAAAACAGTCACTCACTCATCCGTTTAGTCACTTCCAGTTTTACTCCTGCGTGTTCTTTCTTTTGCTTAACAGATTATTGAAAGTAACGTCTAATGTGCTCTATTTTACTACTTTTTTTATTTATTCATTTTTTTTTTTGTTTTTTTTTTTTTTTTATTTCTTTTTTATCTGCCTGTCAGCCCGCCATTGGAACATAGCATAGTTTTTCATATTTATTATTATTATTGTTGTCGTTGTTGTCGTTGTTGTTGTTGTTGCTACTGCTGTTATTTCAATTTCACATTTAAAGTTGTATTCCTCTAGCAGTAAGGCTGTAACTTAAGCTTTGGATTTACAGGCTCTTGGTTTTCCGTTAAGCAAAGCTGTCTATCATTCTGTTCGTTTGTATGTGTAAATATGTACATATACACTTGCGTACTTATGTATTTGTCTAAATCTGAAATAATTGCAGGCATGGTAGCACATTTCCTAGTGTGTTGGTGGCTTTATTATTACATACAATTGCTTTTGTTGTTGTCCTTGCCACTACATATTCTCTGTTGTTTAAAATTCTATATAAAATATAACATGTTAATAATAATGATGACGATGATGACGATAATGACGATGACAAAAGATGATAATGAAGATGCTTGTGTAGTGATGCTGATGGTGTTAAGTACGGCACTGATTCTCATACGAGTACTTTGTAAAACTTGTGCTGTTTTCTTCATTTATTCTTGAAGTTGTCGTTGCTGCTGTGTGTTGCTGTTGTTTATAATTTAATTTCGTTAAAATGAGAAAATGTCTCCTTGGATTTCGTCTCTCCTTCTATTTTTTTTTTTTTTTCATCTTTTACTTTATAAGATTTTAACTAAAGTACAACATCATCGTCATCATTATTATCGTTGTCCTTATCTCAACATCATTTGTATTTGTTATTGTTGTTGTTGTTGTTGCTTTTCCTAGTTTACTCTGTATTAAGAATTGCTATGATCGGGGCTCAAGTAGCGTAACGGATGCAAGGGGGGAGGGGGAATATTCTTGCCACGATAACAATAGCAACAGTAGATGAAAACACCATACACAAGCTAGATGAACAAAAGTAACAAATTTAATTCAAAAAGTATTTACAAAATTATTTAAACGCTTTTGTGCTACTGCTTCTTGCTTTTCACTGCCGTTTTATGTAAATATTTGCGCAAAACCGAATACATATATATATATATATATATATATATATATATAATTGTATAAACGTAGGTATTTATATATATATACACATATACATATATAGGTATATATATATATAGCTGGTATATGGCTATACATACATTTATATACATCAAAGCATCAAGGCAAATTAAAGCCAAGTGGAATTCAAGCGATGCGTACAAAGCGTTACAAAGTCGAGTTAAGCTAAAGCCGCGCTGAGCCAAAACTCTTAAGCAAAGCAACGTAAAAAATATAACTTAAAAAAAAAAAAAAAGCGTAATTTTAGATTTTTTTCTTTCTTTAGCTGTACTTTGATTTAATTTCATATATTTTTCAATTTTGTTCTTCTTAGTTTTTTTTTTCCTTTCTTCCTTTCTTTCATACTTTCGATTGTTGGACGACCAAGCGAGGCGTTCTATAAACGGCAATACAATAAGAGCAATATTTGTACGATGTTGACAATAATATTAAAGGAATGGATGAATGAATCAACATTTCTTCGAACATTCATATATACCACTAAACTAGAGCGTTACGCACAGCGATACATACGTACACTTACGAAGGCAACTAAAGCTTTATAAAACAGATAGCAAGAAACAAAAAAAAAAAAAAACAACAGAAATTACATAAAGTTAAGGGCGATTCTTTTGATACCCACCAGTGATTTTTCGTTTGTTACGATTTTAATAAATAAAGCATCACACATTTGAGCGTAACTGGCTAAAGAGGGTAGTGAGTAATTTGCAGGTTTTGTAAGAAATGCTTCACACGATTAAACGCAAAAGCATACCACGATGACTACGATGTAAGGCAACATATATTTTATAATCGGTTACCGATATGCGACATATCTAACGTATTATGTCTAACACCGTACTTAAAAGAAAATACGTCAGAAATTTAAGAGCCCCAAATGAACAAGAGTGCGAAGAATTCTGTAAAGGGTAGAAAATTAATGCTGAGGCGTTTAAAAGATAGCGCTGCTTAAGTCAACTTTTTGCAAAAAGAAAGAATTTGGAAATAAGTTCCCGACAAAGTTATGAGCTCGCAATTATGATTGCAAATGACAGATAGACGGAGAGATAGCCAGATGTAAGTATTTCCCTTCCTTCACACTAATTAAAATACATACAGTATTTCGGAGTTTGTAATATTTTTTAGATAACCTTGATACATCCCATGAAAGTATGTAAGTGACAAAGAGTTCTATTTTAGGCGTAATAGGCGTTGGATATCTCACTAAGCGAATACACAAAATTTTCCAAAAAAAAAAAAAAAAGGCCCACCGGATCTGTGTTTCCCTTGAGTGTTTAGAAAACCATCGTTCCCAGCTCTGCGGTCTTCAGGATTATTTAGACCGGCTCGTCTATCAAATTCATGCTTGCCTACAATGCTTACCCGTCTTTTGCTATGCAATCTATATTTGCCTATAACACGGTCTTGGCTATCGAGTTCATGTTTGCTTAAAATATTTAGATAATGCCGTCTACCAGGCCCAAGTTTGCCGAGAATATTTAGAAGGCGTTGGCTGTAAAGTATATTTACTTAGAATATTTAACTTTGATAGATGTAACGCAATAAGGAAGAAACTGTGTTAAAACTTGTTGAATGAAGGAATAAATTGAATTTATGTTCCTGCAGCGCACTAAGTGGAAATCGTGGTACAATCTTTATTGTATAATTCAGCGTTCAGAGCGTTACAGATAAGATCACAAATTTAGCATATTCCCACCGCTCAGTGTTGAATGTAAACATAAAAGAGAGAGAAAATCATCACAAGCTTGAGATGTAATGAAATACTTTTGTGATTGAATTCGAGGAATAATGACAGCAAATATGTCACATATATATACCCTACGATACACGCACATTCATACAAAGGCGCATAGATGTACACACATGCACGCATACCTGCAAAGTGACAACAACAGCAATAACATTAATATAAATAACACAATGGCGAAGACAATGAAAGGAGGGGAAATGAAACAGCAATATATACAAATTGACAATGAATTTTTGTCGTACATTCTAATCAAACGCAATCCAATGCTTGGCTAATGCTTTATAATACGGTAGGTGTGCATGTTTGGGTGCCTGTGCGTTTCTTAACCTATTATGTTTTGCGCTTCAACGAACGCCTCATATAAATTTAATTTTCATCTATAAGGTGGATCTCAAGATAATTTGTGGTTTTCTTGTTCACAATGATGCCTAGAGGTATGTCGTAGATATGTTTACATTCAGAAATTATAATGAAATTAAAGTTTAAGTGAGGTACGGCGAATTAAGTTTGCGCGACTGTACGCAATAAGCAGACTTGTCTGATTTCTTCTGTCGGCTGGATAGTGTCGCAGCAGCGAATTACTTCGGTTGAGGAAATTTCCAAAAAATATTATCTTTTATTTTCTTTAGATTAATTTCATATCATGTTGTTATACCTTGACTTGAAAAGAGCGCAAAGCTTACAAGCCAATTATTGGTGAGTACCAGCTCTTTGCATTCGGTTAACATCATTTTCATTTCTGCAGTTAAGTTAAATGACAGGCTCACGGAGATGTTGCGATAATTAATCAAAATATGATACGCTGCCATAATATTATGTACTTTTCCTTCGGCATCCTCAAAGCAAGGAATGCGATTGTCGTCCAAATCAATAAATTTGATGTTCGATTTGTTCGATGGGCTATTGTTCATTTATTACTTATACTCTTGC